GGATGTGATGTCACCATTATTGTGTGTATAAATACCCATGTCTTTGTAGTAAAGTATAGGGAGCATGTGTTCTTCCTTGATGTTTGTTTTTCTTGATGAAAATTTGAAATAGCCATCATTTTGTCTTTGACAATAAAAGTGTTGTGTGTAAACCAAGAAATAGTTGAGTTGTGTGCACTGTAATCACAAGCGTAGTCAGTCAGACAGCAGTGACGAACATGATCTTTGAGAGAGTCTTCCTTGTAGCATTTCTCTCAATTCATCTGAGCTCACAGCAAGAATGTCAGAGTGGTAAGTTCATTAACAGTATTAGTATTGAATAGTATAAGCTGGCATGCAGGAGTGTATTCAGGAATTCGAGAAGCTAGAGATACAGTAGCTCCAGTGGCATACAATGGTATTGAGCCAGACACAACAGGCTGTGTGGTGAGAGCTGAAGGAACGTTCTTTGAGTGTGAGGCAGGAGAAGGAGTGTTGAGTGATGGAGACATTGGACCTACAGACTCAGTGGATGTCAGTGATCAAGACCAGGTCACCAGGTTCTTTGTCTGGCATCGAGACAATGGCTCTGTGGGAATTTATTTCACTGCCACTGATATCTCTACTGTGTCCTACATTGAAGTCTACTTCTTGAGTCTTCCCTCTGCAAAAATAGGACCACCTGAGACTACTAGAATTGCTACTGATACCCATCCAATTGTTGAGGATATTTTCGTCCCACAGAGCTGTTCTTTCTCTTCCTCTACCAATACACTGACCAGGAATATTTTCACTCTACCACAGAATCCTGATGATCTGATCATCACATTCAATTTCAACCAAGACACTGACTGGCTGTTCATCAGTGAGATACAACTGTGTGCAGGAGATCCTCCATCTTCCATCTCTTGTGGCTCTCCTACCACTGACCCCGACCAACCTCCTCCCCTCCCCCCTCTTCCACCCCTCCCTCCCTCACTCTTTCCTCTCCCCCACCCACTGGAGCCACAGAGAGCCCTGACCTGGGCCAGCCTGACTCTGTCAGTCTCACTTGCTCTGTGGCCAGTCCTCCTACTGGTGACTACCAATACCAGTGGCAGTGGTGGAGGAATGGGACACTACTGAGCAACACTGACACTCGATTCTCTATCACACACTCCACCAACACTCAGTCCAGTAGTCTAGTCATATCTGGTCTCAGATATTCTGATGCAGGAGACTACATGTGTACAGTGGAGTATGGAGCATGTCCTGATGGAGTGGATTGCAGTGGAACCACACCAGTCACTGGAAACATACACCTTAACCTCCAGTGTATGTGTTTGGTATACTGTTTTGCATAGTTGCTACTAGTATGGGAAGTTTGATCCACTGAAGTTACAGCAGATACCAAAACAAGTGGTTTTGTTTTATAGCCATTGAATAGGGGACCCTCTGCTGAAATTCTATACGGCTATAGATTAGGGTCTATACACAGCTCTCACTGTTATGCACAATAGTAATATAAAGAGAATCTCAAGCTGGTAAATGTTAGCTTTCACTGTTTTGTTTTTCTTGTGTCCCTCCTGCAGTGATAGTGGAGGTAAAGTCCTCAGGACTGGTGGTGAGAGAAGGAAGTGAGGTGATTGTTCTGACATGTGAGGTGTATGGCTATCCTCGAGACTCCTCACCTCCCAAGTGGAGCTCTCCTGGGAGGAACCTTGAGACCCGCAGATTCAACACTACTCTCAGTGACACTGGTCCCCTGAGTGGTGGCAGTGTGTCCTCCACTGACAAGGTCACTGTGTCTCAACTCACTATCTACTGTGCATCTGAGACAGACAATGGAGAGTACACATGTTCAGTGGATGGAGAATCTGACACCTTTCGTGTTGATCTTGGTAAGTTGAACAGCGAGACTGAAGTTACATGTAATGGTGATATGTGTTTGCAAGGTATAAGGCTATACTTTGCTTAACACGTTCTGCAAAGTGCCACATACTGTAGTGGCCAAGCACTGCGTATGACCCAAGTACGATCCTGGCACGGGCGTTGTTTTAACATGGTGTGTAAATCCCAGGTTAAAGGTAGCAGCTGCCCTCTATTGGTTGTATCTACACTTTATATTAATGCAGGTGACTTGGAAAAAGATAATAGTGTGGTAGAGAAAGGTGACTCTAAAAAGGGATCAGACCGCACTGGTATGCTGTATTATTATGGACGCCACCAACTACTATTCCCTAGTACCCAATACCCAACTTTTTGTCCCACAATCCCCCTCCCACAGAGTCTCTGACTGGTGTAGTGGTGGGACTGGCTGTATTGCTCCTCGTCTCAGTGACTATCAACCTACTGTTAGCTGCCCACTGGATGTACACACTGAGAGGGAGGGGAACAAAGAGTGGTGGAGAGGGTCCTGGGAACCAGGAACAGCTCTATGAGGACGTGGATAGTGTGCAGCCACTCTATACTACAATACCTCTGAAAAGAAATGAGTCTTATAGTAAGATCAGCGCCCGGAATCCATCCTTTACCACCAACACTGCACTTTGAAAACTCGTGACCTATTACATTGCGTTTTGGACCATGTTTAGACGTGTTAGTGTTTCAACAGAGTTTGACTTTTAAAAACTCGTGACCTGTTACTTGTCAAGTATAAACATTGTGTGTTTGGACTATTATATGTTTAGACGTGTTAGAGTATTGGAATGCACAATAACTTGTTAGATGACAACTAGAAAAAGGGTTTAGTACTACAACTGCTCTAAAAAGATTTCTGTACAACAAGGTAATAATAATTGTTTCAACAGCTCCAGTACACTTTATGAAATACTGTTTAATATGAAGTGCCGTAGCCGCACATAGAGAAGTGGTGGGTGATAGTGATACTGAACTGAAGTTGGTAAACACTAGATGCAAAATTGATCATGAGTACTCCCTTGGGTAATCAGCAGCAAGGAGAAATGTAAAATGGCTTACTTACTGTGCGACATGGATTGTGTGTGGAAACAGGGATTGTAGGAGTTCAAACGGATTTGTTGCTTTCGTGTGCATTGACTTTCATTGACTTTTATAGTGAGTGAGTGAGATGGTCAGGGGAAAAATAGAGCCAGATAGCTGTTTCATAACATGTGTGAAAGGTGGCATCAGAGGATTCAGAGCTCTACAATAGTAATGAGCCACCATAAAAATTAAAAGCACTGAAGTGCAAACCCTTGGCGCACTGTGACGCGCACGCGTAAGTAAACGCATGCGCCGTACTACTAATTGATGGGCAGGGTTTAGTTTTAGCTGTTACTCGTGGTCTCTTGCCAGCTCGCGGAGAGTCTGACGCGGGCTAACTACACTACTACATAGCATGCGAGAGGCGATACACGCCCTGCGTTGCATCTTCTGGTGCCTCAGAAGTACGCAGAGCCCGCGGATCGATCGGACTGTGGTAAGCCATCCCGTCCGTTGCGTATTTGCATATTGGCTTTTTCGCGCTCTAGCTTTGGAACGGAGCAGTTTCAGAGAAAACCGTTGGAAATTTCTGACCTTCATTGCCCGTTAAGTAGGTCGTATCCTCTGTGAGACGAACAAACACCCGAAAAGTGAAATTGAGAGTAACAGACAGACAGACAGACACACGTACGTACACAGACCCAAGTACTGTAACCCTCGCTGCGCATGCGCGCCGAGGGTTAATTAATGGGTGCAAACCCTCGGCGAACTGCGCATGCGCGGTACCGCTAATTGATGGGGGCTGGGCCTATTATACTAGTATACGTTTACTCCTGCTTAGCTCGCGGAGAGTCTGAAACGGGACTAGCTACAGTAGTAGATAGCATGCGGGAGTCGATACACGCCCTTTGTTGTGATTTCTTGTGCCTCCGAGGTACACAGAGCAAGCAGATCAGGTCGAGGTAAGCTAGTTCTAATTAGCATATTGGCTTGTTCACTTGGTTTTCACGCCATAACTTCTGAACGCGGCACTTTTACGAAACGCCATTTTTAAAATCAAGCCAGTGTAGCGCTGAACCCGTTGGTGTCGCTATTTTACCTGTTTGTTGCGCGTGGTGGAAGAAAACGTGGTAACAGACGGACAGACACACAGACAGACAGACAGACGGGGACAAACCAAGTACTATAACCCTCGCTGCGCATGCGCGCCGAGGGTTAACAATAAGTCCTGGATTACATAAACTCACAACACAGTCAGTAAGTCAGCATAATAATTGGCGATCGAAGTTAGTCGTTTAAATGGGGGAATTTTCGATATATATTTGTTTGTTTGTTAATAATTAACGGTCAGGCGCTGTATATACCGTAATGTTCTATGTGATTCTAAATATGCGCAAAATAAACGTGAAAATATATTGAACTGAAGTGTCCTAAAAAGCTATGTCAAACTGACAAACAAGTAGACATTAGCCCACTAAGTAAACAGTAAGTTTTGTCTACACAGCACACTCTACTCACTTGGCCATCGAGATGTTTGCAACTTCTTTTCTCATTGTGGGAGTCTTCATAATTCCTCTGAGTTTACAACAAGGTTGTCAGAGGGGTAAGCTTCACATGGAATAAGAACTATTTACACACAATGGATTATAGTTCTTTCAGGGATTCAGGAACTTGCTACTACAACGTCTCCAGTGACATACAATGGTATTGAGCCAGACACAACAGGCTGTGCAGTTGGTCCAAGGTTGCTGGAGTGTGGAGCAGGAGAAGGAGTGTTGAGTGATGGAGACATTGGACCCTACAGACTCAGTGGATGTCAGTGATCAAGACAAGGTCACTAGGTTCTTTGTCTGGCATCGAGACAACGGCTCTGTGGGACTCTATTTCACTGCCACTGATGTCTCTACCGTGCCTACATTGAAGTATACTTCTTGAGTCTTCCCTCTGCCAAAATAGGACCACCTGAGACTACTAGAATTACTACTCGCATAAATCCAAGAGTTGAGGATACTATCATCCCACAAAACTGTTCTTTCTCCTCCTCTACCAATACACTGACCAGGAATACATTCACTCTACCACAGAATCCTGATAATCTGATTATCACATTCAATTTCAACCAAGACACTGACTGGCTGTTCATCAGTGAGATACAACTGGTGATGGGAGATATTCCGTCTTCCATCTCTTGCAGCAATACTCTCCCTCTCCCTAACTCTCTCCTCACCCCCACCCACTGGAGGCCCTGACCTGGGTCAGCCTGACTCTGTCAATCTCACTTGTTCTGTGGCCAGTCCTCCTACTGGTGACTACCAATACCAGTGGCAGTGGTGGAGGAATGGGACACCACTGAGCAACACTGACACTCGATTATCTATCAGCCACTCCACAAACACGCAGTCCAGTAGTCTAGTCATATCTGGTCTCAGATATTCTGATGCAGGAGACTACATGTGTACAGTGGAATACAAGGTAACTAATTGTGACTTGGCACTAGAGGAGAAGCTATCTTCGAACCCTGCTCAGTTGAAGTTTACATTGGCCCTACCAGGTTTATTTAGCTGTAGCTATAAAGCCACAGGTTTATTTAGACCTATTTATTTACAGTTAGAGTGGAGGCCATCAGTGCTGCTACACTAGTAGGGGAAGCTGCCCACTTGAGATGTGAGGTGAGAGGCTATCGCAAGTCAGACTTTTTGCCTCAGTGGAGCACACATGGCAGAATGTTGGACAGTAACTGTACTAAATACTGCCAGACCCTCTTGCCTGGAAAACACGTCGTACAAGATCGACAGGGGCGTACTCTAATTAGTAATGATACTGGTCTTTTGATTCTCAATGTTACTGAAAGTGATTCCGGTCAGTACATCTGTAATGTGGATGACACTTCTGCCTCTGCCACTCTTGTGGTTGAGAAACAAACAGAAGTGAAGGATAAAAGTGTGCATCCAGGTAAGCCACTGACATACGTATGATCAATCTCTCTATGTTTCTATTATAGCTGCCATGATAGTGCTGGGAGTACTACTCACACTCTCAATAGCAGTCGCAGTAGTTACTACATGTCTCTACCTTCACCAGTGGAAGAAACAACGCTCAACAAATCATGCACAATCAGGAGCTAACCCTCACAGTGAGGAGAGTGTTGGAGAGAAATACTACGAGGATGTAGGGAATACCAGTGTACCAATGATGAAGGACAATGAATCATATGGCAAGCTTGGCAAAGTGACTATGTCCGATTCCACACTGTAGGACACCTCACCAGAGTAAACTGACACACCTCACACCTAGTGCATAATGTTGAGTGTAACATGCTACCCATAATATTAGAGAAATGGGTGTAGCCGCACAAACACATGTAGTGCTCCAGTTTAATTTGTTTGACAATGGGGGAATATGACACCCAAGTTAAATACGTGCAAACAACGCGCGAACTGCTCGCGCTCGCTCACCAACAATTCCTCTAACTATGATGTCACTTAGTTCACCTGGTAGATAAGGCCAGGAAAAAAAAGAAGAAAAAAAACCAACTCCCGTCAGGAGTCAAAGTCTGGGAGGTCCAATGCACTGCACACAGAACTACAACTCCCAGGTCTTCTCCCTTACCTCTAAGTGTTACTACCAGCAGTCGTTTCCCATCTTATTGCGCCTGCTCAAACACTACTTTGAAGACAAAAAGTTAAATTCTCAAACACACACACACACACACACACACCTGTGTACCCAAGTCTGATGCAAGACTAACAGGTCAGAGTCTGGCAATATCATTGAGGAACCCCTCATCCTGGGTGGGCGAGAGGCTCTGGAGGACATCGCTCAATCCCAGGTCAGTGGCTATCTTCCTCTTGAGTGGGAGGTTACGTAAGTGGCCCAGGAGTCGCCTCATGTTGCCTGCAGACTCGGGCGGTCTCTCCCGGTCATGTTGATACCTGTGGTCCAGAACATACAGCACAAGTTATATGAAAAGCACAAAGTGTAAACCCTCAGTAAAAGGAACGCACATGCACGTCGATCTGTTTCGCATGCGCATAAAGCACTGCTATTTAATGGGCCGCGCCACGCCATGTTCAGGAGAATCCTCTTTTTGTTCTTCACACCATCGTACAAGCTTTGGTATCACTCATCCTGTAGTGCGAGAATATTTGTCAAGACAGTACTGTAACCCTTGCTGTGCATATGGGCCGAGGGTTAATTAGTCAGCACTGCCAAACGTTAAGGAGGCATGGAACCAGATACGGAAGTCGGTTGATTTTCAAGTATTGTCTAGTTTTGCTGTATACAAGAAGACGTTGTGAAAAAGATGGTAAAACAAACTTTCCTTAATACTGTAGACATTTTTTCCCACACAGACACTGATGTTAATCTGTTCGTCCGTACTGACCTGCTAGCTAGTTCTTGGAACATGTTTGCCTTCAGAGGGAAGGCAGTTTTGTAGTCACTGAGATAGTGAAAGTGGCCGCCGATCACAACCTTCTTGTAGAGAGGGCCGACCCAGTCTGTCCAGCTGGTCCGCTTGTACGCATCAGCCACTATCAGAGCCTGAACAATGAGATTTACACTAACAAGGCTTTGCTACAGTGGCAGAGACAATGGCTGCATTGCTCATGGTGATTTCTACTCCAGCAGTGTGTGTCTATGAAGGTAAGGTAAAGCCTTCCCTTGTTCAAGCATATGATTGAATACACAGACTCTTTCTCTAGTCCGCGCACATGTGGACGCGCGTGGTAGGGTCACGTGTGGAAGGAGGGTCTCGCACGGTCCGCCTAGGTTACGCTAACAACCCATAAAATTCAGTAAAATTCGGATTTGGCTAGCGGCCTCACTGAGCGTGCTCACGCATGTGATGGCTGGAGAGAAAGGGTTTGCAGGCTAACTTAACAAACTCCACATCTAATGCTAAAATTTAGAGCTATTATATACCTCCTGGAAAGGCAGTTCCTCCATAAGTTTGATGACTTTCTTATGGTCGAGGTTGATGACCTGTTTGTTTCCAGACGTGGAGGAGGGAGAGTTGGAGAGCCACTCAGTCTTGCAGAGAGTAGCACTGATTGATACTTCTGCACCAGCATAGCTACGTGCAAATGACTGCATCTTTACATTGAAGTGTCACAACTACATGCATCTCAAGCAAGCGGAGCAAACCGAGCTTGGCAATTAGAGTTACTGTGCATGTCAGCACTGAAGTGACGCATTCATAAGCAAACAGCCTCTCTGTTCTCAGACATCTTATTTCTCGTGCTTGTCATACAGCAGTCCTCTGCTGCTGGCCTCTCTTACCTTAGATGTTTGCGTTGCACGCCTTGCCAGTCTTGAGCTCGTGCTGAGAAAGGCATGTTTCTGCTCCTCAACATAAATAAAGATGCTTCTCCTACGATCTTTAGTCGCTGCTCTACAGAAGCCACACGATTTCTGCAAGCTTCAGTTGCCGCTCCCGAGCTTCCTCGCCTTTCAGAAGTGGTACAATTTCTACAAG